GGCGATGACCTCGCCCAGCCTCAGCTGTCCCCCCAGTGTGTCCCTATGGGCCCTCTCATCACTGTGATGAGCTTGCCCGGCCTCGGCCCTGACCCCCAGCGTGTCCCTACGGGCCCTCCCATCGCTGTGATGAGCTCGTCCGGCCTCAGCCCTCACCCCAGTGTGTCCCTATGGGCCCTCTCATTGGTGCAATGAGCTTGTCCGGCCTCAGCTCTCACCCCAGTGCGTCCCTTTGGGCCCTCTCATTGGTGCGATGAGCTCACCCGGCCTCAGCCCTGACCCCAGTGCGTCTCTATGGGCCCTCTCATCAGTGTGACGAGCTTGCCCGGCCTCAGCCCTGACCCCCCCAGCACGTCCCTTTGGGCCCTCTCATCCATGTGATGAGCTCGCCCAGCCTCAGCTCTCACCCCAGCGCGTCCCTATGGGCCCTCTCATCGGTGTGACGAGCTTGCCCGGCCTCGGCCCTGACCCCAGTGCATCCCCATGGCCCCTCTCATTGGTGTGATGAGCTCGCCCAGCCTCAGCCCTGACCCCAGTGCATCCCTATGGGCCCTCTCATCACTGTGATGAGCTCGCCCGGCCTCGGCCCTGACCCCCAGCGTGTCCCTACGGGCCCTCCCATCGCTGTGATGAGCTCGTCCGGCCTCAGCCCTCACCCCAGTGTGTCCCTATGGGCCCTCTCATTGGTGCAATGAGCTTGTCCGGCCTCAGCTCTCACCCCAGTGCGTCCCTTTGGGCCCTCTCATTGGTGCGATGAGCTCACCCGGCCTCAGCCCTGACCCCAGTGCGTCTCTATGGGCCCTCTCATCAGTGTGACGAGCTTGCCCGGCCTCAGCCCTGACCCCCCCAGCACGTCCCTTTGGGCCCTCTCATCCATGTGATGAGCTCGCCCAGCCTCAGCTCTCACCCCAGCGCGTCCCTATGGGCCCTCTCATCAGTGTGACGAGCTTGCCCGGCCTCGAAAGGGAAAATGGGTTTTCTTATGGCACTGTGAGGTTTTATGATGGTGGGGCTTGTTTGTTTGTTTGTTTGCAAAAATCCCATTTCTTTATCCAGCCAGGATCCTTGCAAAGGGACAAGTGAATGTGAGGAACTCAGTTTGGGACTCATAATTTGCTTTCTGGGAAACTTGGTGATTTCTGAAAGCAGGGTCTCTGAGACGCTTTGTCAACATACCAATAGGTAAATGATCAACTAGATCAATTTGGTCTAGCCAATGTGCTGGAAATAAAAGGCAGGTTGGGATGTTGGGAATGCCAAGCAGTGTCCTTCACCTTGCATGGGAAAATGCTATTGGAAGCACTCAAAGTGGCCTCATGCTTCATGATTTTGTGCTGGCTTTGGGAGGGGAATCCCAAAGGACTGAACTTAAGCAATAGTTAAGGTAAATCACAAGTTTTTGGGGGGGATTTTGGGGAGGTTTTGATTTTACTGCCTTGTGAAAGGCCAAACGGCTTCTGCATTGCCAAGCTGCAATAAAACCTCAGTGAGGTATAAATACCCCCAGAACTAGAGTTTCACTTAGTGTCAGACCTCTGTGAGTTGCATTAATGTGTCCTGATGTCACAGATCGAACCATGAGCCCCAAACGAGGTCAGGGACCTTCCGTGCTGCCCACTACCTCTCTGCACGGTGCATGGTAGAAGCTCCCAGCTGGGAGCTGTGTTTCTCAGTGAATAAGATGCTATTTTAGCAGGGAAAATGAGACACGGTTTAGCAAGCACTTAAGGATTTGCTTAGTTTGAAGAAAGTTGTTGAATCCTGTTGAAATGGAGAGGATAACCCGTGCTTAAAGGCTTCTCTGGACTGAACTTCTTGCAGGAGCTGGGGCTTCTCCCACTCCCAGCTCACTGGAGATGCTGATGCGAGGCTGGAGCTGGATGTGGGGCTGCCCAGGCTGGTTTTGGGAAACTAAGGGGGCTCTTGGGACCTGGTTTCTCCTAAAAAATAAAATAAAATAAAGGATCATTTTTGCATCAGTACCTGGTGATGATTAGGTTGGAATTTAGTTGCAGACAGCAGAGTTGTGCATTGGGGTTGCTGCTGCAGCTGGTCCTGGCTTTCATGTGCCAGGATGTTGGGAGATTTGAAGGGTTTCACAAAAGAGCAAAGCAAAAATAGCTGGTGTCGCACGTGGCCCGCTTTTCTCTCAAGTTTCCCTGGAAATGGAATGCAGCGGTGAGATTCGTTAACTGATTTTTGTGCTTTATAAGTCTAATAATAGAGTACGGAAGAGCTCATTCCGTCAGTCTAGGGCTTCCCTCGGAATATTTTGGGAAGCTGGGATGTCAGCCCCGCTCTGTATCCCCCCACGCGCGGGTGACGCATCCGCAGGTGCCGCGTGCGGCCGATGAGCCCTGGAGCCCTTGGGATGCTCGAGGGCCACGTCACAGCCCTCTCCAAAAACAGGGCGAAATCAGCCCTGCTGCTTTTGCAGGTGGGAGATGGGGAGTGTTGGAATAACCTCCCTGAAGTGGTTTTCCTGGCTGTTGTCACTTATTTTTCCAAGGGAAGGTCAGCGGTATTTAAACGTGCACATTAAAGTGACAGCTGGAGTGTCTGTCCTTTAAAGCGCTGGCGTGGGGGCATCCGCGGGCAGGCGAGGAGGCTTTGGGGGGAGAGAGGAAAATCCCCTCGTTTGCTCTGGAGTCACTCCCGTGTCACGGTCCCGCTAGTGACATTTTATACCAGGGAGAAACTTGGCCGAGTTTCGACATTCGGAGTCTCATTTGAAGTGTTGAATAATTCAGCATCTCTGCACTTGCTGCCAAGGTCCCCTGCTAAATGCCAAGCGGGGGCAGAGCCTCAGTGGCCACTCGAGCTCCTTTCCTCCGTGTTGAGACCCAGTGGGTCCCTGTGAGGGGCTCCGAATTCCAAAGGACACCGAGAAAAACCTTCTTGGAGCATCTCATGGAAGGGGGAGGTAGCAGGAGGGTGGGGGAGAGGATCAAGTTTTCTGCATTACCTGAGAATCCTGCATAGCAGTTAAAATGTAAATAGACCAAAATGGGGATTTTCCTAAGAAGGTGATGGCTCTCCCCTTCCTGGCTGCAATGCTGCTGGAAATATTTCACTCTTGAGCCACTTTTGGCTGTTTTCTGCTAGGAAAAACAAGCTCTCGCCTCTAACAGGGGTGATGCATCCTTATTGAAATGCAAGAAGTCGAAACCTTTCGATGTCAGTAGATTTGCCTCAGTAAGCTCCTCTTGTGCAGCAGAAGAGCTAAGGAGTTGGAAACCTTTTGGAATAAAATGCAAAACAGGGCGATTTCCAGAGGTGCTGAGTCTTGCATAAAGCCCCGTGGAGCCAGCCTGGATCTGTGATGAGCTGCACGGTGCCGTTTCCTGAGATGGAGCTGCTCCCGGGTGGCCGTCCCCGTTCCCTGGGCACGGAGCACACCCGCTTTAGCCGATGTCCATGGATCCCCACATTCCCACCAAAGCTTCCCCTATTTTCAGTAAGCACAGCACAGTTTTCTCTCTTTCTCTCGTTCCCAGGTGATATCTGCGGTATCCAGGCTCTCCTTCCACAGTATTGCACAAACGAAAGGAATTAGGTAAGATCCTTGCAACGTGATGCTTCCGATAATGTTTCTCTCCCTCCTCTGCATTTAATCACATCTGGCTGTGGTTATTATGGCTGGGGCTGTTATATCGGGGTAAACAGCTGTCGAGGGGGCTGCCTTTGGGTGCAGGGTTCGTGCAGAAGCACCTTGCTAGCTGCTCAGGAATACTTTTTAAATATAGTTTTCCTTCTGTGTGCATGTGGTTTTTTTTTTTTTCTTCCCCTCCCAGTTATAAAACACACTTGTTTTCCTCCACAAACTGGCCCCAGTGCTGTGCTGGGTAGACAGGGTGCAGTCCAGCATTGGGTCAAATGGTAAAAACAGCAAACGCCGTCGCTCCCGTTAGCTTGAAAACGTCGCATCCCGTTGCCCCTGGCCCTCGTTTTTGTCTTTTGTTGTTGTTTTTAATTAGATGATTTCTTGCAACATCATCAGCAATGCAGTCAGTTGGGATGGGAGCTGGACTGCTCTGGGCTTCGGTCCTGTAGCGTGAGTGTAGTTCTGCTCCAAACAGTGTTTTAGTTCTAGGCTGCTTGCACGATCATGCAGATTAAGAATAAAATAAATCCCCAAGGCTATTATTTGTCCTCAAATATGTTCCACAGCGTGCAGGATAGAAAAATAAAAATGAATCTTGTGTGTTACTCGGGGAAGAAAGTCATCTTGCTGTCTAATAATTTCTGGATATGTGAACCTTGCCAGAGAAGCCCTGTTTCATGGAGTAAATCAGATAGCTATCGGGATAGCTGTGATGACAGAGTGTTTCTTCTGAGGAACAAGCTACAAATAGCAAAACATGGCAGAAAATGATCCTGAATGCAATGTTTTGTTTGCACTGCGAAGGTTGGGCTTAATATCTTGCAGCTGTAGCTACAGCCCATGCTGTGGGTTTTCTCCTCCTGCTCTGCAGTAATTTCAGTTATTTCGGATTTCGGATCTGCTTTGGGAAAACAGTGCCGCCCTTCAGCACGTTGCTGTGTTCAGAAATGAGCACCCTGCTCCGTGCCCGTCCTCGGCAGCCTCCGAACAAGGAGGCTTTATTTTACATGGAGCAAACTGGGATTTTTCCACTGTGGGCCTGACTCATGGCCAGGGCAGCCCGTTATCCCCTTCCTCAGCTGGCACTGCCCGCGTCCAAGTTAGGCGCAAGAAGAAATAAATACAAATGTATATATATAAGCTCTGCAGCGTGGACTTTCCTCCCCTTTCCAAGTATCCTCTAGCAAAATCGTAGCTCTCCAGAGGGCCCCGAGGATTTTTGCTGCAGGTTTCAATGGACCGGGATTTTTTCCCATGGAAGTTTTCTTGGCGAGCCTTTCCTCCGGTGAGAGCAGCGAGGAGGAGGGTGCTTTTCATCTCCCCGAGATGGGTGTTTTTCTTGGAAGCGGGAGTTTTGCAAGCAGGAGGCTACGGAACGCTGGCTCCTGCTGCCGTCGTGCGTTTTTAATGCATGCACTGCAAAGCCATCCCAAAACGGGAAGGCGTTAGCATGTTCAAAGGCCCTTTCCCAAGATCCTTAATCTACATCAATCCTCTATATACGCATTGAGCTGCCGAAGTCACTTTCCACAGAAGACCCTGTGTTTAATAAAATATATTTTAAAAACCTTTGCAAAGGGAGAGGGGAAGGGTGCACAGGTGCATTAGGAGCCTGTGCAAGGGAACTCTGTTGCAGACGCACGCGGTTACTTTGCAGAGTGATCCCGGAAAACTCTTCCCTGTCCCCAGTTGTCCTTGCGGTCCTGAACGGACCTGGCTCGTGTGGTCCTTGTAGGGGAGGTTTTAAAGGAGATGATTCCTGTGATCCAAGCAGACCTTCCCGGGAGGACCTCGGAGTCCCAGGATCCCCAGGATGGGAATGCGGTCCCAAAGTGCACGGCTTGGGTTTTCAGCTGCGATATCTTCAAGCCTTTTGCCCTTCCTTTCTGGTGAGTCAGACCTAGGCCTAGCGATTGCTCATGCCCTAACCCTGGGGGATTTTTCCTCCTATTTTTTAAAAGATTTTTCTAGAGTCCCCTTTTGATTTCCTGCATCTGTTATTGTCAGAGCGGAGCTGGAGCGAGCAGAGGATCCTGCCGCTTTCCCAAGCTGGTACATGAGAAATCTTTTTTTTTTTTTTTTTTTTTTTTTAAAGTGCGATAATGTGTTGAAACATAAAATTATACGAGCTGTTATTTTCTTGTCTCATAGCCTCCAGAAACACTTGGTTCCGATTTGAGCTCAAGATAAACCTGGGTACGTAGCTAACCCTTGGGCACTGCACACTCGATTCTCCTGCAAAACCATCATCTTTGTGTTATCCGATTACGCCGCTCGCTGCTTCTCCCCCACCAAATTTCTATCCGAATTAGTCTTGCGAGAAGTTTTGCAAGTTCCAGACCACAAATGAAAGCAAATAATAATTTTTCAGGGGACTTGTCGGAGAGTTGGCTCGATTGGAGGTGGTGCTTTCCAGGGATGAGTCATGTAGCGCAGCGGTATGATTTTAATTAAATTCAGCAGCTTTTGGTATGCTAGGAAGTGCCTCATTCCGGAGGGAGGATTGAGACCGCTCTGACACGGAGCTGGACCCTTTGGAAGTCGCGATGCCGCTGGAGCATCTTGGTCTTGCCCCGTTGCTTCCCTTGAGAGGCTGCAGTTTAGGTACCAGGTGACAATCGCTCTTGGGGACATTCGCCCGTGTCATACATGGGATCGATGCCACTTGCGTTTGGTTCTTTGATCTCTGCCAACACGTGGGTTTTGTCTGTGGAGGAGCCTTCTCTGCAAGGCTCGGGATGCCCAAGAGCTTCTTGCAGCAAGGCGGGAAGTTCCTTGGGGTTTTGCTGCTCATCCGAGAGGGATCAGGCAGGCCCAGGCTTGGAGCATATGGATTACCGGGTGCTTTTAAGGGATGCTGGAGTAAAAAGTCTAGATCTTAATTAATGATAATAAATTAGAGGGGTTTTCCAATGCATGCAAATTTACATTGCAAAAGTGTTGGGTTTTGGTGAATTCATCATCCTGGGCTCTGGCACAATGGGATATTCACAGTCATTCTCCAAAAATGCAGTTAATATTATCAACTCGCAATGCATCCGAGGGTGTAAAGGCATCTCCCACACCATTCCTGATCTTCTAAATCAGGCCGTGCAGCCGGGTCCCCAGCAGCCCCATGGCCCTGGGGACATTCCCGATGGGAGCAGGGCTTTTCCTCCTGGCCGCTCCGGTCCGTCTCCGCTGGCCGCTCGAGTGGAAGACCTGGCTCCCAGCCGGGCGCCGCGACGCGGATCCGATGGGAAGCAGCAAAGGCGGCCGCGTGCTGCGTAATGGAAGGGACAGGGCTGGGTGCGCATCCCGGGAGCGCCGCGAGGAGACTGGAAAAGCGCCGGGATGTGTTAAAAACGCGTTGCGATAGGTGCGTATCGGAGGCTTCCTATAACTGACTCTGTGACAGAGAATGAACGTTTGGCAAAGCAAAATAATGCATATGGGTGTAGAGGGGAATGTAAACCAAAAACAGGGAGAGATTTCAAATAAATTCCCTTCTGCGGAGGGGAGATGAAGGCGGCTTGCTGCAGTGTGGGGAACAGCTGGGGGCCACAGCGCAAATCCAGGGCTTTCTCCAGAAAAAGTCCTTCAGCTCCGCATTGTAGCTGCTCCATTTAGCAAATGGCTCCTCAGTGTGACTTTCCTTTTAATTCTTCCTTATTTCAGCCATTAGCTGCTATTGCACAGACACAGGTTATTAATTCCTCCTCCGCCCTGGCTCGTGCTCCGGTGCTTTGCCCGCAGCCAAGGTGAAGTTTTCTCCCTCTTTGGTGTCTCCTTGTCTTACAAAAGGATTTTTATCCTAGGAACCGATTACACCTCAAGCCCAGATTTGTGTCGGAAATGCATTCTTGTGATTTTTAAATTCTTTATGATCCTCCTACTTCTTTCTTTGTGGTGTGGTGAGCGCTGGCAAAGGGAAGGGGCAGAGATTAAAAGCAGGAGGGAACTTTTGGAGAAGGGAGCCCAGTTTTCCCGACTTTCTCCACCATGTGCTCCAGGAGCTGCTGGCCGCCTTTTTGTCCAGGGTTGACATGGCATTTGCATTAGTCACCAACCGCTTGGGGACAGCGGGGAGAGGAAACAGGGACACGTGGCTGTGTTTGATAAAAGTCTTCCGTGTCTCCTCTTTTCTTACTGCACCTCTGTGCTCTTCAGCTTCTCTCCGAAGTGTGGAGGGTTTCCCTGAACATCTGGCTCCAACAGATGTTGGGACATCCTCTCCTGTGCCAGGCAGGCAGCTGCTCCTCTCCCCTAGGCCTTGGTGGCACCTGGGCTCACCTAAGCCTGGTTTGGAGACGCAGGAGAGGGAAAAAGAGGAGGGACAGGGCAAGTTGTTGCAAGAAACCATGTCCAAAAATAGCAAATTCTGAGGCTGGCCAGGCTGTGTATTAAATCTTTCAGGAGAGGCAATTTATTGTGAAACGGGGAGGGTCGAGAGCAGAGGGGGAAGCTTGGGGACAGTGAGAAGTTCCCGCATTCCCAGTTCTGCTCGACTGCAACACGAGCATCCGACAGCGCCGCGCTTTCGGCAGGGCGATGCCACAGCCCGCCCTGGCGCCGCACCAGCAATAACACATCAGATTTAATTAACACAGTTGTTTTTTTCATCCTCTTCCGACGTTATTTGCTGGTGTCTTCTCGGGAGTAAATGCCTCCGTAGAAACAAGGAGGTTTGGGCTGAGGATTTAGCCCTGGGAAAGCCTCGAGGCGATGCTCCAGGTCGGGCTGGTGGGTCAGGAACACCAGTAACGCTGTAACTCGTCTCCTTCTCAGGCCTTTCCCTTCGGAGGAGACCACAGAGAACGATGACGATGTCTATCGGAGCCTGGAGGAGCTGGCGGAGTAAGTGGGGCTGCCTTGGGGAGGGAGGGTGTTTAAAAAAATATATATATATATAGAGGATGGGGGGATAAAAAATAGAGGATGGGGGGATGAAATACAGCAGGGGGGATGAAATACAGCAGAGGGGCTGGGTTGTGTGGTTTGACGTCCCCAGTAAACAACCTTGAACTAAAATATATATGGTGAATGGCTGGCCCTATTGGAATCCAATGGCAATATTCCTGTCGGCTCCTGCGGGGCTGGGAGGTCTCTTATAAAGTGCAGTCTGTTTCATATGGAGAGCAAATCTGCAGGGGTGGATATGTGGCTTATACCGTTCCACAACATAAATAATAAGGCTTCTTAATCCAATGAGTTCCTTATGGCTTCAGTTATTACAAAAGTAAATCATAAGTTACCAGGACACGGACCAGGCTATGCCAGGATTCCCAGCTCGTGGTTTGGTGCTCACCGCTCCGGTTTAATAAATTCCAACTTACATGTCGGTTTCTCATTTTCCCAAGGGAGCTGCCACGGGAAAAGCGGTCTCCCAGACAGCAGCTTTTTGGGCAATTCGTTGCTATAATAAAAAGCTTGGGATAAATGTTGAGCTGGAGCAAACAAGGTGTTACGGGGCGGCAGAGCGGGCTGAAGCGTTTCTCCAGTGCGCTAAAGAAACGATGATGAATAGGGGGGCCAAGCTGCGATGATAAGTTAGCTGCCACTTTTCTCATTATTTTTGCTATGTTGGAAAAAGCACACATGCCAGTCCGTTAAATAAATGGCTCTCTGGTAGCAGACATTTAAGCCATAGCAATTGCAAACACGTTCTGTTGTCTTTGTCATTAGTTAAGAGTTGAACGTGTCCTACTGGTGCCACCTCGAAGATGGTCTTAGTTGCTGCAAGTGTTGAGGGTTTGTCTTTAAGATTATCGGGTGCCACTTTCACGTCTTTGTCATCAGTTAAGAGTTGAACGTGTCCTGCTGGTGCCACCTCGAAGAGGGTCCTAGTTGCTACAAGTGTTGGTGGTTTATCTTTAAGATTATCGGGTGCCACTTTCAATGGAGAGTATGTGATCCTGGACGGAATGGGTGGGAAAGGGCATTTTTTCTTGCTATTTCCAAATACACTATCTAAGTCCAAGGAAGTTTCCAAAATCTCAAGCCCAGGGGCTGCACCACACATCTTGCACTCCCTCGTCCCAGCCTGGCAGATGTGCTGCAAATACAGAACTTGTGCTCGTTAGAGACCGTGAATGAGGGGGTTGCCTGCATGAGCTGCCTATTTATAGCTCTAAGTGCAGAGGAGGGATCAGAAAAGTGCAGGATTGCTGGGTGAGGTGGAGATGGGCAGAGCCTTCTAGGTCTGCTGCATCTCCAACCCTCCCAGCCACAGCGCTGGGATCAGGCTTGGTTGTCCCGTTTTGGCTGCCTCTCCCTCGTCCCCTTCCAAGGGCTTGGTGTGGTCTGATGGCCCCAGGACTTGGGCTGAGCTGGTTTAGGACTTGGCAGAGGAAGAGGCTGGTAGAAACTCATTGACTTCCTCAACTCCTGGAGCAGGTTGTTTTTTTTTTTTTTGTTTGTTTTTTTGGTTTTTTTTGCATTGAGATCCTTTGATGGACCTGGAGCTTCTGAGCTCTTCATTTTTTTCACCCTCCTCGCCAATGATATTGAAAATGGGACATGCAGCTTTAATGCAGCAAGGAGGACCTGCTGCAAGAGGATTTTCCACCCATGCCCGAGCCCCGAGGAGGCCGTTCCTGCAGGACAGCGCTACGAGCTCAGCCCCACACTGGTGACCACCCAGGGCTTCATTCTTCTGCTCTCAATGGGCTTTTCTGTCCAGCCAAGATGCTGCTGGGTCAGGACAGCCCAAAGCTGCCTGTTTCCATCCTAATAACCTGATTGCAAATGCTAGCTCCAGAGGGAGGATAAAATCCCTCTCTGAACACAGAGCTGTCAGTGAAGCTCCCAATCCTAGCAGTAGATCATAAGCTCTGATGCACAGGGGTAACTCAGTTTCTCCTGGTTTTATTGAAGGAGTAAATTGCCTTTCTTTTTAGTGGGGAAAAAAGATGCAAGGATGTGGCCTTCTGTGCTCAAGGGATATTTGCTATTTTTTTCCTCGGGCATGGAAACAGAGATGGAAAGGGCACTGGTGCTGGTAGGAAGGGGCATGCAGGGCAGGAGTTTGCCTGTGTTGGCGATGCCTGCAAGGTGGGGACGTGCGGGATGCATCCGATGGTGCCGGAGCCACAGCTCCGAGGGCTCTTTGCTGCATTCGCACTTGCTCCTGGCTTCCCCCTTCTTCCTTTCACTCCTCTCCCCTCCAAATGCATCCAAACGGGCAAGCAGTGCCCGTCGCAATATTAACTCCAGCGTGTGGTTCCTAATGACCCTCTACGCAGAGGAATGATGTATGGAGAGGCAGCCGGTGATCTGAAAGGTGCACGCAGGAATGGAAGATTAATCAGGAACGGGGAGTTACTTGCTCTGGATAAGGAGAGGAGCTCAGAATATAAATATTGGTACAGATAATAACGGCGGCAGCGGCGCTAGGAAAGGGGAAGATGGATCGCCGGCTATTAGCGGGCATTATTACAACAGCTGCAATGTATCAGTCTGGAAGAACGGAGATGATACATCGTGCCAGTGCGTTTATTTAAACCTCCCAAACTTTTATTAAATAAATCTGTTCCTCAAAAATAAAGAGCTGCATTAAGAAGAGAAACGGAGCCCGCTTTGGCAAATACACGTGCCGCTGCCACTTGGTGCTGATTGTGTAACACAGAGATAGTGAGTGTTACAATTTGAGTGGAGTTTTACATCTAAATATGTGTATGTAATTAATACTTATGTTGAAAGAGACAGCTCATAAAATATCACGAAGCTTTTTGATATTTCAGTGTTTCGCCCTGTCCTCATCCCAGAGCCTGACTTGATCAAGAACAACTAGCAATCCGCACCTGTAGGTCCAAGCTCTAACACTATTGTTTTTAATTAATATTTATTATAGGTTGAATTTTCAAAAACAGTCTATGACTTAGGTGGTGCCCCAGGGGCATATGTAGGGACTTCAATGAGTATTAAGTACCCAAAACTGTCAGCTTTGCATTAAAACTCGCAAGGGCAGCTCCGGAGCCCCGTGATGGCTTCATCCAGCCGTGTTGCAAACGTCCATGTGCATTAAGGAGCATGAGGTGTCTCTAGAGTCAGACCTTTTTCTCTTTCTTTTTTTTCTTTTTTCCTTTTTTAATTGTTATTGCTCAAACCAAGCCAAGGCGCCCTCTTCATCATCACTAAACCCTTCTCCTTCTCATTCCAGCGAGCATGATCTGGGGGAGGATATTTATGACTGTGTCCCCTGTGAAGATGAAGGCGATGATATCTATGAAGATATCATCAGAGTGGAAGTTCAACAGCCCATGGTAACAATTTATATGCATTTTAAAGCTATGGCTTGGCAGGAGGAGAAGGGGGAGGATAAAATTAAATAAGCATTTTGCCAGTGCAGGGGAATGAAGCAAATCCCAGTGCACCGTTCCCCTGAGCCAAGCTCCTCCTGTTGACTCCCAATGAGCCCAGCCTGTCATTCCCGGGCTGTATCTATGTCTTCCCAAACATCTGGATTCTCCTGGATGCCATGACCACTGCTGGAGTCCATGGGGAGCATCCGAACATGTGGCCACAGTGTTTTTCTACCTCAGACTCCTCTCCTCCTCTTAGCAAAAGAACTTGTTATTAGTATAACCACCCACACTTCTGTCTTTATGTTGGAGATAACGTTGGTTGGGTTTTTTGTTTGTTTTGGGTTATTTTGCTTAACATGGGTTGCAAATAGGATGTGTATAATGCTAATTGGTTTCTTGTGTTTCTGCACGCTTCAGATTAGGTACATGCAGGTAAGAGACCGATTAAAATAATGGTTTCCATCTAGCTGATAGAGCTAAGCTGGGAGTTGTAATCAGGTGTAGAATCAACATTTATTCCTGTGCATGATCATGAACAACCAACCATCAAATTACCTCTACGAGCACCATCTTAAAGTACCAAGCATATCTAATAGTAAAGGCAAGGTTTCTTTCCAATTTTTTGGAGAAAAGCTGTTTTTTAGTAACAGCAGCTGTATAGAGTGTCCTCTGACTTTCCAAACCTGTGTTTGGAGTTTGCTATGAACCCAAGCCCTGTGCCAGTGTGAGCAGGTTGCTAGACCCCCTGTAACACTCTCCAAACACGCATTATTTTTCCTTTCTCTAGAAAATGGGAATGACAGAAGATGACAAAAGAAATTGCTGCTTGCTAGAAATTCAAGAAACCGAGGCCAAATACTACAAAACACTTGAAGATATAGAGAAGGTAAGAACCCAGGCAGGTTTTTGCATACATGGGTTCGTACACTGATGGCCCCGTGCTGCTTCTCGCCGTGCGAGCTGGCAGCTGCGACGTGGCAGGGCCGATGCATCCAAATGTCAAATTGCAAGAAAAGGAAGATGCGGAAAACCCGAACGGACAAGCACAAATGGGCAGCCTGTAACCAGGCGAGTCAAATGTGTGTTTTTCTGATCGCTGCACTGTGGAGAGGGGCTGAGTGTCTCCTGCTGTGTTCAGAGGATCTGGCCCTCCCCATCCCTCGCCCCGGGTGAGAGCGGGGCCGCTCTCTCCGATAAGCCCCGTGTTGGCAGATTCCTTATCGCTTTGATTGCTGCAGAATAATTCGGAAGCGGCCCTTTATTCTAGGCATCTCCGAAAGTGCTGAAGCTGTGACTTGTCACTGAAACTAATTGGATTAAAAGTAACGTTTCGCTGCTTGAATTCACGGATTTTAATTAGTTTTGATGAATTATTGTTGTGCCTCTCTCTTAACAAAAAGCCAGCACCTCGGCAAGGCAGCGAGGTCGTGGTGGCTGCGGGACCTGGAGGTTGTTTCTATGCAGAGGGAAGCAGTGAGAATAAAGAAGGACAATAAAAACCGGAGCTGCCGTTTCTAATTGCCCCAGTGCTTTTGTTTCATCTCCTTTTGTTTGCCTCAATCTGTTGAAAGTTCTTGCAAGGAAGCTGTGAGAGAAATGAGCACATGAAAATCCTCATTTCACGTTGTCCCAAGAATTGTTCTGATGTACATGTTGCTTCTGTAAATAACTAGCACTTGCTCCTTGCAAATAGCTACAGCCCTTGTGCTCCAGCCCTGGGAAGAGTTAAGGAATTGCCTTGATATGAATTAAAAGAGCTTGCGAAGGCAAAGGAGATTTTTCTGGCATGCTGTGGGGTAGAAGGTCCTGTACTGGCTGCACTGCATCACTGTGGTGTGCAAGACGTGTAGACACTTCTATTAATTTGCATTTATTCCTCAAGGCACCTCGGAGGCAATTGGATCATTTGCACTTTTCGGGATCAGAATTCCAGCACGGCAAAGGAGGAGCTGGAAAGATGCTTCCCTGCTGCACAAGAGGGACCGGGGGGACATGGTGTGTCTCCTGACCCTGGAGTGGCCCATGGGGACCAAGGGGTGCTCAGGATGGGGACAAGCCGTGTCACCAAGGCTGTTTGCCCATCTTTACCTGTACTCAGATCCACTAAAACCAGGTTCTCCCTGCCAAGCTAAGCACAGCCAGTGAGGTGATGAATCACAACACCCTTATATTGGGAGATACTTAACCCTTCTCTTTATTTCCACCCTTTTTTCCCTTTGCCTCTTGCAGAACTACATGAACCCACTGAAGCTGGTACTGACCCCCCAGGACATGGAAGCAATTTTTATCAATTTGGAGGTAACGGAGTTGACGCTGCTGCCTGTGGCTCTGCTCTCTTCACGGCTTATTCCCCCTCCTGCTTCAGAAGGAGCTCGGAGCTTGCACGTTTGATGCACAAATTCATCCCCAGCTTTAGCACTCGATGCCTTTGCAGGGCTTGAATGGGTTTAGGAGTCGCTCTTTAACACCCATTTAAAGTGGGAGTTTATATGAGACCTGGGTTAGAAAAATGATGCCAGGGATGCTCCTGGCCTTGGGACTTGGCCTGCATGTATGTCAGCCCTATTTAGAAATGCTTTGGAAAAATAGTGGATGTATTTCTGAGTTAAAGCAGGGCTTCCCCCTGAATTATGGCCCTGCATCCCTGGCAGCTTAGGGTTTTATCTCACTACAGCGACTCATATTAAAACAGTTAATTGTAAAAAGAAAAGGAGAAAATGGCAGAGTAATTAAGTAGTGAGTGTGCATTTCTTTAAGCTTTGCATGCACATTTGCCTTGGAAGTGTTTAAAGTATTGATTGTTTCTTCATTTTAGGACCTCATTAAAGTGCACTTCAATTTCCTGAGAGCCATCGATGTCTCTATGATGTCTGGAGGAAGCAGCCTGGCAAAAGTGTTTCTGGAATTCAAAGAAAGGTAAAAGGAAACCCCATCCACAGGCAGCTCCACGTTTAACAAATCAGTCTCATTTAGTGAGGACCATCCTAGAATGGGGAATAGAAAAGCTGTTTGCAGCTGACCAGGTAGTATATCCTGAGCAGCTTGGCTGCTCTTGGGCATTTCAAACATCTCCCTTGTGATTCTCCCAGCTCGCTACCTGCCACACGGGTATTTTGGAGGCCGAACAGATAATGTGTTTGCACAGGTTTATCAGGGGGAATGCAGATGTGCACATTACGGTTTGCAGTGCGTGGCTTCTCCTGCAAGCACTGGTGGGAATTTGAGGCACGTTGGGATCACGGCTTCCTTTGCAGGGGACGGGGCTCGTTTCGGATCAAAGCGATGCTTCGCTGCGGGAAGTCAGGTATTTGGCGCTGCTGCTGTCCCGCACCTACTGCATCATGAATAAATATAAAAGTTGCTTTTGCAAACTTGATAGGTTCTGTGTTTTGGCAGCTGCAAGGGGGAGTACCCTGGAACATAAAGATAAGGTTAATAAAAGCCTTTAATATCCTTAATATTAATCAAAGGCCTGATTCATTGTGGACTCATGCCAGGGAGTTATTTCACTGTGATTAAACCAGTGTCTAGACATAGAAATGCCATTCAGAAGTCAATAGCTCCAGAAATACCATCTGCATTAATAATACACCGTAAGGTCAGATACTCCGTCATTCACAGGGCCTCTGTTATGAAGTGAACATTCTTTGGATTTAAAAAAAATAGAGTTCCCAAAGAATGCAAATAATTTAAGAATAGTCATAAAACTCCCGTAGGTGTCTGCGATCTCCTGGCTGGGCTTGTCCCCGTGCATGCGGATGCTGTCCCCAGGCAGCAGCAGAGGGGATTTATTGCTCTTGGAACATGGGGTCGTTGTTGGGGTGACTTTAGCATCTTAGAAGCTCTCTTGTAATAACGGGGTGCAATTCTACCCTGCTGCCTTTTGCGGGATCTTCCCATTAAGTGCGTGAGGCCGGGATCGCATCTTCCATGTGGCGGTGGGGCTGGTGGGAGATGATATCGTCCCATCCTGGAAAAAGGGACCAGGGTGCCCAAGAAGAGCCAGTGATCCCCCCTCACATGGGAGGACACCATCATCCCACCAAGGAACAAATGTGGCCACCAAAGTCCCCAATGAGTCCTTTTCTATCAGCCCTTCGTCCCCTCTCATGCATCGGTGCCAACCAGCTCTTGCTTCCATACACGTCCTCAGAGACATCCCGGCAGAATGAGGCATCGCTCCTGTGCTTTGTGGAATTTTTTTGGGGGTAGTGGAGGAAATAGTTTGTAAATCTCTCTCGATGAAAGCTGGGGGTTTGAATTTATGCTCCCGGAGTGTCTTTGAAACTCTCCGAGTGCTGGCAAGATAGATATTATTGTACACGTCCAGAAGTTGTCAAGGGGGAAAGGCAGAAGAATAATCTGCATTGGCTGCTACCTCGCTGAGGATCGCAGTCCCATAAATCTCCCTATTCAATTACCTGCCTGTGTCCACGAATCCCCCATTTGCGGAGCGGCACTGGGGCAGGTGCTCCGAATCCATCCCCGCTGCCAGACAAGGCTCTGGAATAATGGATGAGTTGCAGGATGCGATGGAAAACGCGTCTTATCAGCAGCGGTGCAGGGAACAGCAAAGAGTGGGAGAGGGGAAACCCAGCCCTGACGTGCAGGATTAATGAGTGCCGTGGTGGAAAAGGGGGAATCCACAGCAAAACCAGGCTGCTCGTGTCAGGTGTTTAAATTTACGTGGCTGCTGAGCACCAGCACCCTCCTCACGTGCTCCTGGGATGGATGCGCTCCTGGGGGCGAAGGGGATGGAAGCCTCCATTCCTGTCGTGCAGTGCAGGTGATTTGGGATGCTTCTTGGGAATGAAGCGTTTCTTCCCTTCATCCCAGTGTGCTGAAATATCCCCAAAGGCTCCATGAGAGGAGCACAACTGCACTGGTGGCAGTTGCAGCTGGGCCGTGGGAGGTTTGTTCAGGATCACTTGTGAGCTTGGATAACACTGGATTTGGTGCTGGCCGAGGTCTGGTGAGAGCCGTGTTTGGGGGAGCCTCAGGAACGAGGCCGTTGATGCCGTTTGGTGTTTTTAGCCCCGAACCTCCCCTAAGGCAGGGGAACCGTTTGCTCGCACCGCATATGGGCTCTGCCTTTGCAAACCATAACGGGAGCACGGCAGAACGGGAAAACTGGAGCAGGGAGACGCAAGGTCTATTAAGACATCGAGAGGATTACGGCACCTCTTGTAATCCCCGGGAAAAGCCTCTTGCAGCAGCACAGTTCTGCAGCCACCGGTGCCGGTCCAGCGCTCGCACGTTCAGCAGATGCTGCTGCAGGGTCTAAATGTGATTTTCTTTGGGGCAGAGACTTTGCTTGGGGTTTGCCCAAGTAATTTCTTGGCCAGTCTTTGGGCACGCAGGAGGGGAGAACACATTTAAAAGGGATTTGTCTGCAGGGAAGGGTTTGGTGTCAGTGGAGCAAGACGCAGGTGGCCAAGTGGCTTTCCAGGAATTGCTCCTTCCATTGAGGAAGGAGGAACAAGCGATCTCCAGTTGAGACCTGGTCCCCAGGTGAGTACAGGAACCGCAGAGCAACGGGAGCAGCATCGTGCATTGCTGCTCCGTGCATTGCTGCTCCATCACCTGCTCTCCTGCGGATGAAGGGGGGTGTAGGGCAACGTGGAGCTGGACCAGGGCCAGGACAACCAAGGATGAGCCCTCGTGCTCCTTAAAACAGAGCTGGAAAGTCCTTTCTGCTCATCGTGAGCCAAGTCCTCACACCGGGCTCCAGCCTCGGAAGCATCTAAAGAGTCATATGTTAAATACTGGTGTAATAAAGGCATGTTAACACTTTGCTAAACAGTTATGGGGGCAATAGCTATTTGCCGTCTATACATATATTTTTATAACAGGTTATAACAGCCGGCAAGTGTTTCTGATTAAATTGGTGGGTTTTTCTTCTCCTTCCCCCTCTACAGGCTCCTGATTTACGGCAAGTACTGCAGCCACATGGAGTATGCACAGAACACGCTCAACCACCTCCTCGCGAACCGGGACGACGTGCGGCAGAAGGTGGAGGTGAGCGGGGACCGGGACGGGCACGAGGACCAGGACGGAGCATCCCGGTGCCTTGACGGCTCCTGGGCTGCTGCAGCGAGGCCGCGAACGGGTTGCAGCTCCTCTAAGGGGCTTTGGCAGCAGGGAAATCCCAGGCTGCATCCTTAAAAGCATGGAGCATCCAAGAGCCAGGACCTGGCTGGCTTGGCAGGGTCACACACGGGGTTCCTCCACTGTCCTCCTTGCTTGGTGGGAGGGTTCAGCTCGAGGTACTGAGTAAATCAATGCAGCCCCAGAAGGGATGCGCTGCTTGAGCTGCTGGGTTTTCCAAGCTTTAATTCCTGGCTTCTATCTTGAGGCTGATCTGAATTTCCTGGGCTGTCTGTGCACGTTACCTTGTGCACTGCAAACACCTTTTGATTCCCTGTGCAAAAACAGGAATGGAATTCAAGGATAAGGCCATGTATTTCCCCCTTTTTTTTCTTCTTCTTCTTCTTCTTCTTCTTCTTCTTCTCAATGTACTCTGGGTTTTGCATCAAAATACCATGAGATGAACTGCATCCCCATGTCAGCTCATCTATCTCTCGGGGAAGCCGCTGGGAAGGGTTTCCACCAGCCCAGCAGAGTGTCGTGTTTAAGTGGGTCTGGGCTAAGGTAATAGTCCCAAAACTTCCTGTGATCACATTAGCACATCTTAATGACTTAATCCTTATCAGGCAAGCCACAGCAACTGTCGGCATGCTTGCAAATAAAATGCATTGGCTCAAAGCATTGAGGAGGTGAGTTAAGCTAATGGGCTTCATTTGACATTTCCAGGGGTACAAGAGCGTGCCTGGGCTCTCCTAATGAGCAGTATCTCATTTAGCTGAAGTAGCTCATGTTGCATGAAAATATCTGTGTTTTAGGGTCCAGACCCTATGTTTTATTTGTGAAACCCTCAACAGCTCAGGCCCCATCAGTGGCTTCCAGTCTGCAAGAGAACAGTCTCATCAGAACAGCAGTTACAGAAGCTAGATATAATTTTAGCTTGGGTGCTAAAGGTTGAGGGTGTGTTTTCCCATGAGAGCAACTATTTCCTCACTCCTGACACATTGATTTTTTAATAGGAATGCACGCTGAAGGTTCAGGATGGGAAATTCAAACTGCAAGATCTGCTGGTGGTTCCAATGCAAAGAGTTTTGAAATATCATCTCCTTTTAAAAGTAAGTGTTTCAGCATTAACTCTTCTCTACAGCTGCCATCCCGGCCGTAGCATCCTTTGGCTGTTACAGTGGAGGATGAATCGCTGCCAAATGCCGAGTGCGGGGATTTTTCCCTTCAAATGAAACAATTACCAGAGCTACTTAACGCGACATGATATTTGTGCCGTCTCTTCAAGTACGGTGACCGAGGGTAATTCTGCGCTTGTTAGCCACGAGTGGCAGTTAATGAATATAAAATAAGCTTGCATATAATCTGATTATGTGTGAAATTCCTCGCGTCGCCTCCGCACGGCAGATCCCTGTGGCACGGGGATCCCTGCGCGATGAGGGCGGCCTTCCTCACACCCCCCTGGTTCTTGCAGGAGCTGCTCAGCCATTCCTCCGACCGGCCGGAAAAGCAACAGCTCAAGGAAGCCCTGGAGGCGATGCAGGTAGGGGAGGATGCTCGGGATGCAAAACTTCCGCGGAAAAACAGCCTCGCAGCCCAAGGATGGAGATTCCTCCTCCGTTAGGATGTGCATCGATTGCTGTTAAATGGGATTGCTCTGGGATTGTCATCCTGGTATCTGCCCGCATAAGCACCTGGGGAAATTGATATTTGTTGACAAGTTGGGGCTTTTCACTAATTCCTGTTGTGGGTAAATACGCTGTGCTGGATTTGGCACTGGTTTTGGCCAGGGGAAACCTGGCAGGGGCTCCGGTTGTATCGGTAAGAAATTGGAGCAAGTGTCTGAGAACAGCGGAGCTCCTACGCGCTGCCCTCCTGATGCTGCTTGGGAATCCTTTTAGCCATGAATTGTTTTCCTCAGTGGATAATACCTTTTCCACAAATGAAGCAATTTTTTTTTTGTTTGCTCTAAGTATTTTTTTGAGCTTTCAGCCTGAAACTTCCCAGGATCTGAGGAAAAACTCCTGCAAAACAAACAAACAAAAATCCTCCAACTGTTTTCCGACTTGGCCGTGTGCCCCCATGCACACACTCAGTTCGCAGTGGGATCAGCAGCAGCTGGCAGTGGCGTTAGACAATGGCTAAATCCAGGTTTTCTCCCTTGGGAGCGTTGAAGGATTCGTCCCGGGACACTCTCCTGTTTTCTGAGGTCACTGGATGTTTTCTGCCTCTGAGGCTCAGCTTTTTAATGACACTGCATTTCCCAGAGCTTACATAAGTCGGTGACCTTTCTAGCCATTATCCCTGCAAGCCCGTGAATCCGGAGCCAATATATAGGTCATTTAAAGTTAAGGTTGTTCGAAGGACGTTGCATTTGCAATCTGCTACTGCACAGTGCATGGTGCTTTGAATAAATAGGCTTGCAAGAGGCAGGAGCATAGCAGTGATTTCCTTCCATGCCAAAAAACAGTTTTATCCCCCAAACTTGCTGATGGTGATGAAACAGCACACCTAGGGGCAGCTTTAAATCCTGTCTAGGTCTCATCCTTTATGGAGCTTGATGTGAAATGTGCATCCAAAAAGGGCTGTTTTGGTTCACGCGGGTCCCTGCAGGATATTCGGGCATCGAGTTTGTGCGTCTTGCCCTGGGCTTTGGTGTTGGGCTTGTTCTTATGAGAGAGATACCAGTGCTAGTGAGCAAACATATCGAGTCTGGCTGCACTAAGGACTTGGGAAGCTGCAATAAAAAGCCCTCGGAGAGGCGGGCTGCTTCCATGGCCCCGTCATCGGGAGCGTGCGGATGCGACTCAGACCGCGCCGGCCAGCGGCGTAGGAAGCAGCACACTTTGATTTTAATTGATCTGCAAACCAAGGCTTAGCTCGGAAGCAATGTTTTTCATCCAGATTGCAGTCTGTCTGTCTGGTGCACTGGTAGATGTCTGACATCGCTACCGTCTGGGGCGGGAAAGTGGGCAGGGGGCCTGAATATCTGCAACTAGAGCCGTGTTTCCCAAGGGATTCACCTCCCTTCTGCTTTGCACGTGTGGTAGCTTGCATGAGGTGGGATTTGCAGCATAGACAAAAATGCACGGGTGGTTATTTGGCGAGTGCATCATCTTTGAGGTTCCAAGCAGTGGTGGGAGCAAGGAAGGTCCCCTACTCCATCCTGCAGACCTGGGTTGCCTGTTGCTGTTGCAGAAGAGGCAATGGCAACGCTCTGCTTAACCGTGTGCTGACAGGGGACACTGGCCTCGCTTTTGGTTTTGTCATTCCTCATAACTGTCCCTGCCACCACCTCGGTCGGGTAGTGTGTGATATTACGAGTATGTTACGAGTATTGTCACTTAGGTCTGCGATTATCATCTGTGATTAACCCTTCCCATATTGGGAAGCTGCGGAAGGTTGGAACCCGAGGGGCTGTCTTAAAGAATTCCCTGTTTGGATTTAATCCAAGGTGACAAGAGCTGTGGTGGAGAAGCAGCAGGCAGGGACCGAATGAGCAGCATACAGGCAGAGGAAATGCACTCCTGAGGATGCTGAAAGCTGTTTAAGTGGAAAGCATAGGGGTCTCTTACTTTGGGTCAAAATTTGGTTAAGCTGAGTCCGGATGCCACAAGGGCTGGGCTCCCGTATTGCCCTCTCCTGGGAAACGGGGAAAATTGCAGCGTATATCCAAAGGTACAGGCAGAGGAAATGCACTCCCGAGGATGCTGAAAGCTGTTTTTTTAATGGAAAGCATAGGGTTCTCTTACTTTGGGTCAAAATTTGGTAGCTTAACCAAAAGCTGAGTCCAGATGCCACAAGGGTTGGGCTCCCGTATTGCCCTCTCCTGGGAAACGGGGAAAATTGCAGCGTATATCCAAAGAAGCTGTGCAAAGGGATGAGGAGAGAGGATGGGGACAGGTTTGCACCCCAGTTTGCACCCATGTTGCAGGAGCTGCTGCATGACTCGGCACTTGCAGTTGTCTCGTGCTTCCTTCTTCCACCTAGTTTTAACTGATGGGTTTTTGCATTCAATTCTGCAGAAATATGTTCTGCTGCTTTTCCTTTCCTGCTGGCAAAGCTTGTTCCTGACGTCCTGGGTTGCTGCTTATCTGCTCTGGCTCTTGAGCGTGTTGACGGAAGGAGGGATATGTCCCCAGTGAGCAGGGGTCAATGGGGTTTCTTTTTTTAATAAAAGAATTAGTTTTGTTTGGAAAATACAAATCAACATTCACTTTTTTCCTAAGGACTTGGCCATGTACATAAACGAAGTAAAAAGAGACAAAGAGACTTTAAAGAAAATCAGTGAATTTCAGAGCTCCATAGAAAATCTGGTAAGTTGGACAATACTCTCTCCTCCCAGCTTCCCTATGCTCGTTACCATCGTGTCTGCTTTTTCAGTGCAGTTACTGTGGGATCCAAAGTGGGATGCTTGGGTGTTTGGACAGCCCCTTACTTGGACTCCGGTTTTGTTGGCAATGCAGAAAGGGTTGTTAAAGTTACAAAATCAAGTTGGCTGTGAAATAAGGTGGCTTTGGGTGGTGATTTTTCTCTGTCACCAGTGCGGGGGCTCCCGTGGCATCCCCAGATGAGCCCTGGGGCATCCGCTCACTGTTTGCAGCAGGGCTGTGTTTGCTGCTGCGAGGGCAACGCGCCGGCTCTGTGTCCTGACGCTCGACAGCGCACGGGGCTCGGTGACAAACGGCACGAAATCGTGACACCCCCGCCTCATAGCTTCAGCAGAAGCTCATCCCCA